ACTTCCACGGGCCAACCCATTGGTGCTGGAGCAAGCGGACGTCGAAGCCACCCGATCACTTCAACTGACACGGCATCATGGGCCCGAAGGAGGCTTGTATGGTCTACGACCAGTCGTGGTCGTTGAAATACGCCATGGAGGTCACCGAAAGAAGCTCGGGCGGCGCCGTCACATCCACGATCTGCCTGTTCTGCAAGTTGCACGGCCGCCAACTCGACATGGTGGGCTGCCAGGAAGGGGCCGCAATACCCCACCTCGTGGCGCACAGATCTCTTCCTGAAACATCTCACCAGTCAGCACGCTGATTTGTGGGATGCGTACCAGAACGGGTCCATCGACGGCAAGAAGCCACTTTCAAAAGCCGCATCGCTCTCAGCAATACGCTCCACAACTATTGGGGTCTCATTGGTGACGTGTTGGAGTTCAGCATGAGCAGTGAGACGGCGAGGTCGTGATCGCCGAGCTCATGGTCCGACCTGAAGTCCAGATGGCCGCTTTGGACTACGACATGGACGAGAGTACGATCGCCATCGCTCGAGCATCTCCCGCCGGCTTTGCCCAGTTGAAGCGCAACGCTCTGCTCCTGCTCAATGTCCATGAAGACGGGTCGTACAAGACCACCATCAAAAACGTCGATCGGTTCAAGCTCGCCATCAAGCTCGTCTCGCACGGCCTGTCGTTCCGGCAGACTGCAAACGCCATGGAGGCCGTGCGCGCCACCTTCAACCTCAACAAGCTAACCGGCATCAAAGACAACAGGTCGTTTCGCCCGTGTCCTCGTCGGAGTCTCCATCCAGATGATCGGCGATATACTTGCCACGGACGATGTCAGGTCGATGTCGATCGAGTTCGACGGCAGCAGTCACCGCGGGACGACGTTCATCGACTTGCGTGTCCGTCTCGGCGTCAAGGGCGTGCTGCACAACCTCCATCTGATCGCCATGCCGCACTTCGACTGACACACGGCCAGCCACCAGGTCGTGATGTTGAAGAAGCTGCTCTCTGCTATCTACCCCTCGTGGGCCGACAAGCTCCTCGCCGTCTCCACGGACGGTGAGCCGACCAACAAGGGTCGCATCAACGGCGTGCAAACGCAGCTCGTCGGGCTTGCGACGCATGACGTACGTCTGTAGACTAGTCGTGTTGGCCACGCATCCGTGCTCATGTGTGTCGCAGGTGTTGCAGATATGGTGCGTTCCGCATCAGATGGATCTCGTCGTCTAATCAACGACGCGACACCTGGACGGCTGTCAGTGAATCGACACAACATACGCCGTCACCGTCTTTCTGAGCCGGCAGGAAAACCTCATCACCGAGATGGGCGCCATGTGCCCAAAGAAGACGGATCGGTGCATGCACCTCTCCCACGTCTTGGCGTTCTTGATCAAACACGAGAGCCGGATCCTGGACTTCTTTGCCGAGCGAGTAGCGCAAGAGGCTGGCGGCCATCCTCCCGTCCTCACCCAGCTTTGGTGGATGATCACGTACGCGATCGCATCAACATCACGTTCGCCCAGCTACAGTGCAAGTCCATCGTGATCTGCCAGCAGCGCACGATCGTCAGCGAGCTCGTTGCCGATCTGTTGGTCATGTACTCCGTGCAGCACGTCGACGTCGCCGTCGTGGACCTCAACGACTTGGACGAGTCGGACTGCCTGCTCATGGACGAGCGCTTCATCCTCAAAGAGTCGTTGAGAGGTGACGTTGAAGATCAGGGATCTCGGGCCATGTTTCACCTCGGCAAGTTCGACGACATGAAGAAGGTCATTACCGAGATCGGCAAGTTCGTCCTGCAGACGACCATGGGCCTGGTCGCCATGCAGACGGAGCGCACGACGGCAAATGAGGCTGAAGAAAACGCGCCGCACGTCATGCCGGCCGAGCTCGTCAAGGTGCGCCCTGCCACGTTCGTCAAGGAGATCATCGGCCGACATATGAACCGCCTGAATAAGTTCTGGACGGTCGACGACATCTACTCGATCGAGGAGGAGCATCGCGCCCTTATCGCCGCCTACCGCAACGAGCGGAACCTCCACTCGAGCATTGACGGGAATGATCACACGACCGAGTTCAACGACGCCTAGGACCAGATCTGCGCCGGTGGACGGTTCGAGCTTCTGCGTCGGTTCTG